ACCAGAACTGACTTCAACATGAAACAATCCAACACCATTTCCCATTTCTCCTGCCCTGAAAGACTGTTATGACAGATAAAGCCCAAAGTCAAATGAACTCAACGGACATTTTAGAGGGATGGCCCACAGACTAAGGGAACGATATCTGTGTTATATATCAAGGAAAGTGTGGGACCTGGGCATGACGCAGACTGTCTAGAATAAGGGATGGATACTGTCCCGGTTCCGGCTGGCATAATTTTCCTTCTAGTAGCTGGTACAGTGCTGTGTTTTGGATTTAGCATGAGAATAATGTTGATAACACACCGATGTTTTAGTTGTTGCTAAGCAGTGCTTGTACTAAGTCAAGGACTTTTCAGCTTCCCATGCTCTACCGACTGAGAAGGCTGGGGGGGCACAAGAAGCTGGGAGGGGGCACAGCCAGGACAGCTGACCCAAACCGGCCAAAGGGACATTCCATACCATGGGACGTCATGCTCAGTATTATCAACTGGTGGGAGTTGGCCGGGGAGGGGTGACCGCTGCTTGGGAACTGGCTGGGCATCGGTCGGCGGGTGGTGAGCGGTTGCATCACTTGTTTTTCCTGGGTTTTGTTCCTCTCCCTCTTTTTTCTGTTGTTTTCCTTTTCATTACAATTTTTTATTATTATTATTTTATTTCAATTATTAAACTGTCTTTATGTCAACCCACGACTTTTCTTACTTTTGCCCTTCCAATTCTCTCCCCCATCCCACCAGGGGGAGGGGGAGTGGGAGTGAGCAGCTGAGTGGTGCTTTATTGCCAACTGAGGTAAAACCACAACAGGCAGTTAGAAACCTTCATTTAACTTCTAATCTAAATAATTCATAGCTAGTTTATAACCATTTGTTCCTGTGCTAACATTGCCTTTTGGGTTAAATTGTTGTTCTCCCTATGGGGTGTTTACTCCCGTGATGTATTTTAAAAAGGGTAATCATATTCCCTCTCAGACTCCATTTTAGAAGGCAAATAAATCAACCTCTTGTACAACAGTCTTTCCTAGTCTCAGATTGAGCCTCTTGTCCAAGGGACTGAGCAAATAGACCAAAAAAAGCGACAGCCTTCTCCAGAGCTGCTCATAGACCAGCTGAAACGTTCTTCTCCGCAAGGTGGAGAAGATGAGATATGGTTTACTGGCAATTACTAGTATATCTATCATGATAATTTTTTTTTCTTTTCCAATCTTCTGACTTTCCTCTTTTGTTTTCTGTACTACACTGAAGTTGCTTTAGCTCTGATGGTGCCCTAGCAGAGAAGGGCTCCACGGCATGGCAGTGTCCTTGCCTCCCTCTGTCCTGGCAGAGAGGAGTCACAATGCAAAGCACGAGGACCGCCTTCTCCAGAGGCAGGGTAAAGGGAGGCACGGTCCCACATACACGTACATCTCGAGTGCATCACCACAAAGGAGGAGAGAGGCTGAAAGAAAACAAAGCCTATCCAGCACGGAAATAAACTTCACACAATGAAAGAAATACTGTGAACATTACGTGGATTTGTATTTCACTTAATTATTACCTAGAAGGAAGGTGCTCTTGGAAAGATTCAATGTCTTTTCCTATTTTTTTAATTTAAAAAAAAAGAGTTGAGGTGGATTATCATACAGAATCTTAAAAGGAAAACACTGCTGAAGCTGAGAAAGAGACTGTTACTCCCTGCTCTGCCATATAACTGCCCAACAGATAAAGCTTAATTCCTCATTGTGGTACAACACTGATTTGTTGATAGCAAGCATTGTTTTCTTACGCTTTCATGTGATTCTCCATTTTTTCCTTCCTTTAAATTTAGGACAGAAAAGCTCAGAAAATAAATGGCTTGAAAACAGTCTTTTTCCTTGCCATGGAAATTATGATTCTTTCCTGAAAAGGGTACTCTGCTAAAAGGTCAGGTCTTCCCCTTCCTATCTGTCTTTCATGGACAAAACTCCGCTTTTGATGTAATGGATTATTTAAGATTTTGTAGGAAGGCCTGAGGGATCTGCTGAAATAGGTAAAATGATTATGAGTGGCAGCCCGCAATGTTGTACAGAAGTAAGAGAAACATTTTTGTGCTGCTTAAAAATAAAATAAAAAAAAGACTAAAATATAAGTTTGAGTAATTGTTATCTCTAAGGTAGAAGCAGAACAGTACATGATCCTGATGTTAACTGTAACATCCTCCTGAACATTTGAAATAACCTTGCATTATTGATACAACAGACCTCAATGGAAATTACTTATTTTTTTCCTACTTTAAATTTAAAAATAATGGACTGATTGGACCAAGCAGCTGAAAGCACAGATAGTGCATCTAGAGTTTGTTTTGTGAATTATTAACACAGCTCAAAGTTAAAAATTTAGCTTTGCTTGGAAATCTACTCTCCCATTTAGCTTGACTGCTGTTTTCAGTTTACATTATTTCTTAGACACTGCTGTGAAACTTCCTCTTAATTGGAGGCTATTGTGGGACTTGAAGATTTTTGTTTATTTGAAAAATACAGTACGGCTGAATTACCAGGACCTATTAATATACATGTAGTAATGACATATAATCGCCCACAACTCCCTTGAGATGGCTCTGGCACAACAACCCCATTTCGTTTTCATGAAATAAAAAGCATCCAATTACCTAAACAACCACCTATTTCACATTAACTACACACCAATAATCAGTCAGTTGGGGGAATGTTTACTTCTGCGGTACATCATGCCTCACATCCTCTTTGTCCTCTCTTCGTATACCTTTTTTTCTTCACTGTGGGCTTTATTTGCAGGTGGGGCAGTAGATTTACATCTCTCCATAATTCCTTTGGTAAAACTGTTCAACACGTCTTCTATTTGTTCAACACGCTGTAAGCAATGATGTTGCTTAGTATTATGCTGCATGAACTTGGGCCAGCAACCCAGCAGTACAGCCAGGCATATTTTTGAAGTGCTGCTGCGTAGCAATAAACAGACCCTCATACATACATTTTTTTTTTCCAAAAATGCAAGGAGCCCCATCTGTACTGTAAACGCGTATGTACATTTTTCACTATAATGCAATCTGTCCAAAGTTATCCTTATTATGTGTGTGGGACATTGTCTCGGGAGCAGGGTGGGGAGAGGCTTTCCAGGATAGGTTATGGATAACGTGCAGTACCCCACTGGGTTCCTTCTAATAATGCTCACTTTGCAAAAAGAAGCCTGAGGCACTGGGTCACAAAATGTTCCAGCATCTCCCAGGAGGCCAGTATTGAAAGGTAAAGGAAGGCAGAGGAAATGCCTATATAAAACGCAGACTTGGCACGAATACTTTCACATCCAAGTCAGAGATATTACAGAGAGCTCAAACTTCCTTTCTTTTCTCTGAAGAAATCTCAATTTTTAAGCCCTCAGAGCCGAAGGAGCATGTGGAGTTCCTCAAAGGTACGAACAGGATCTCAGGCACGGCACACACTTCTGATTATTTCAGCAGCTGAAGGAGGCAGTACGCGATGCGAATGAAAGCGAGCTTTTGATTACCTGATCTTTACCAGTGCCGCTCTCCGTTGAATGTTTTCAATGTAAAGATGCACGTCTATCGATATCAGCGAAAGGACAGGAGAATCTGTACAAGTAGTGATCTTGGGTGTCGCTACAGAAACTCCTTTACCTCCCAAGCTTTCCCTCATGGGGCACAAAGTAAAAGCAACTGCCAGAAATTTCCATCCATCACTAAAATATATGCCTAGATCAGGAAAATAAGGAAGTAGCTGCAGTCCTTCAACTTTACTACAATAATTCCAGCTCAGGAGAACGTCCATTGCAATGTACCATTAAACTCAACAAGTCAAAGCAACAAAAAAATTGTTCCAGAAACATCAGAATTTTTCATTTTACCTACCTGCCACTGCACAAGGACAGACGAAGTCGTGTGGGGAGTTACTAACACGGAACTGGGTGGTTCACCTGGAACTAAAGGAGGAAAAAAGATAACCAAAGCAGTTATAGCAACAGGGTGGAAAACGGGCAGCTTTTTTTCATCAGATTCTCTTTCTTTGCTGCTTAAGACAATCTTCTATCCCAGCTACTACGTGGTGGGTCTCAAAAGCAATACGGTGGATATGACTATTGCAATCCAGGCAGAAGCCAGCCACTTCTCGTACATCCCTTGCTCTATCTGTGGCCTTAGAAACTTGAGCAGGAATAAGAGAAAAGCTGAGGGCATAAATCTGGAGGAAGCTGCAGCGTGCCAGCCGCTCACAAACAACTGGATACACATTTGAAAGGACATTAAACCAGCTGTGGGTGCACTTGAAAGTGCGAGCAAACTGCTCCCAAATTTTCCATATTTTTTGCCACGGTTGGGGCAAGCCCATTGTTTTTAGGAGTCTATGTCACATATTCACAGATTGTTTTAGTTAAGATAGCTTGATTTACCACGGGTTAACCCATTCCTGTGCCCATGGTCTGTAACATACACACACACACACACTTCAGCAGCTCAAATACAAAGGAGGGAAGGCTTATCAGGAGCTGACAACCCTCCACAGTGCAATGCTCTAGTGGCAGCACCAGGTTTGCTCAGCAGAATAAACGTTCAGTTTGTTAAGGAGGTGAGAAGCTTTCACAGTGTTTCCCTGTTGTATTGTGAGGAGGCCAAGCACAATTCTGGATTCACTGTAGCTAAATTAAAAGAGAATTGAAAATAAAATTTTAAATTCCAAAACAGTGCGTCAGTGCTGCTTCATTAGTACCGGTTACAGCCTGCACCAACACAGCAGCTGCTGTTCAGGAAGGTGGAGAGTCAGGATGTCTTTAATAGGCTGCTGGGCACATTATTCAAGTATTACATGGGTTCTTGTTTAACTTAGGGTAGTCCTGAGCTCTGTCCTCTGCTTTTCTGATTTCAAGATCATGTTCTTTAAACATTCCTTTGCAAAATTGTTTCCTATTTTTATATCTCAATGCTATATTTAACTAGTCATTCCTTGCGCCGTATTAAGTACTGGCTAATTCCTAGCACCATATATATATATGTATCCCAGTATTACCCCATTTCCCAGGCTAAGGGTAAATACTGATGCTTTTTCACACTTTGCAGAGTTCCTTTCTCCATTCAAGACATCAGAGCTACTTCTGCATTCAGGCATTGACTTTACACAATCAAGGAATTAGAAGCTGATCTCTAAGGCTAAAAATAAAAGCCTTGTCAATGTCATTCACAGTTTATTAGCCCTGATCTGCAGGATTAAATGTTCATGTTTCTAGGAGCTTCATATTCTTACTTATACCTCAGCAATTTTGCCATATTGGAGACTGATGTGAATTGTGAGTGAAAACAATTGAAGAAACTTCTTCAAATGTATGCATGGTTCTACATTTATTTTTAATGATCTCTTGTAAATTATTCAATTTCTGCAAAGATAATGGTTAGTGCAGAGTTTGGAAGCCAATCAAACAGAGTTTAATTCCATTTTGAGACTCCTGAAAGTATGATTCATTATCAGAGGGCACAGCAGGGCACTTAAGGCTGCCTCTTATTAATTCAGCCACATCTCATTACTACCTGTATCAATCTCCTATGAACAAAACTGCATTGGATGTTGAATGTTCACTCCACTGTCCCAGTGGAGAACACATTGCAGCGGCTCCAGCAAACCTAGGAGCACTGGGGAGCACCCATCCCACGGCGATGCTCCCAGCGTGCCTTGCCTCCTCACTTACCATCCTGCAGAGTTGTGACCGCTTCAGTCTCTGTGCTGAAGTCACTGTCTCCGATATCGTTGGTTGCTTTCACTCGCAGTTTGTAAGAGGTGAATGGGTTCAAGCTGTGAAATGTAAAAAATAAGGCTGAGGGATGAAATCTCCTCACATCATCACAACTTGCCTCAGAACAAGCCTCTATGGAGAACCTGCCCATTGGCAACTAAAGTCATTGAGCAGTTTGTCTCTTCTCCACATCGCCTTTTCTTTGCAGCCTCCCCCAGCTTCCTCGGGACACGGGGGTGTTCGCACCCTTGCTGCCATCAGCACCTTCTCAGATTTCCATCGGCCTGAGTTCCTGAAAACACGCATGGATTCATAGCTGAATCGGGCTCCAGAAAACAGCCATGAAGTTGCAGTTCATGGAGCAGCCTACGACTGGGGCTTGTTGGAAAGGACAAGACGTGCTGTTATCCGAGTTTTGCGTGGCTATGCAAAACCTGGCTTTCAGGGTGCTTTGCCTGAGATAGCCTCAAAACAGATCTGTGGGTCAGCTCACCCTCAGTGCACGGATGGGGATGACAGGTATAGAGGAGACAGGTGACGTGCCCAGGGTCAGCCAGTGCGCAGCAGGCACTGGAATTCAGAGCGCCAGCCTTCTGACTAATCCTCTAGACCATACCATTTGATCGGTGCATTTTATTCCCACTGAATTTCAAATTAATGCTATTACCTGGATTATTCAATAAAGACAGTAACAACAGGTTCCCTGCAGCTCTTTTATCTATGCAGTGCTTTAAGATATGCAAAGAGTGATTTCCAGCTGACATAACCTTAGCAAAGATTCGTCTGTCTTGGCTTGGCAGGGAGAAGGTGTGGGGGAGGCTGCCTTTTGAGTCATATGTGGAGGCTAGAAATGCAGAGCTGTAAATTACAGGGGATTTAGCTAATTAATTCGTAGCGTCTAGCCATCAGCTGGCAGATGTAACACTGACTACAAACCCAAGCAAAGTTACTTGTAAGGAATGGTTAAACATCAAGGGATAATACATTCTGATGGGCAGCACTCTTGCATCATGCATGTACTACTCTTCTGGACTTTCACAGGAAAATGCTTTTAGCAAGGAGGAGAAGAAATCTTTTCAGCAGTTCCACCCTATTAGGACACCATTACTTACTTACAGCAACTTGAATAATTTGAATCATCTTTCTTGATCTCTTGTTTTCAGTAATGCCAACGTCAAGTCTAAATGACATAGTTGGTTTCCTTGATTTTACAGGTTTTGACTGGAAAGACACTGGGTATAATTCAGGGTGGGTATTATATCTCCAAGGTCAATGAATCAGGTCTATATTTGTATCTATAATTGTCAAGTTTTCTTTTTTCTGCACGGTTAGACGAAAGGCTAGCAACGTGTCTGTATCTTCTGGCACACGACTGGTGAGCTGCCATATACTGTAGTCACTGATGTTTTTATAACAGACCTGAAAAATCTGTATCTGAATGCTTTGAATACTTGATTCTCCAAAAGCTCACGGCCTTGTAGAAATAATCTGATTTGTACTAGCTGGTCAATAGAGGAAATGGACAGCAAAACAAGCACCTTCTCATAGACATTCAATTGCTTTTGCAGATGTTACAAGGACTTTAATTACAACAGCATCGCTGAGGATATAATGAAGCCTGAATAACAAAGTTTAAACATTCTGATGCTATCTATAAACTCCAGTATGGAAAATACAGATAAAAATGCTTCTCATTTCATCTGGAAAAGCTTATATAGAGATAATTGCAATGCAGCATTGAGAGTGGATTTTAACATCAGTCACTACTGAAAGGATTTTTAACTAATTGTATTTTACAGAGCATTGTGTAGCTACATATGGTTTAGCCCGAGTAGCATTATCTACCGTGCTGAGCTTTCAGGATGGGCTTCAAAAAGATGCATTCCAATCCAACCTTAATTAGATTTATTGCATGACCTTCAGCAAATCTCTCAATTACTGTTCATAACACCACCCCTAAAATGGGAGCAATGACCTCACTTAACCTCTCTCCCCCAAAAAGACCGTGAAGCCAAGTGATGCTTGCTTTGGCTTCCTAACTGTTGGAAGTGGAAAGTGTGGGAATTTCTATGCTAGCCTGGGATCATATGGTACCTTTCAATAATGCAGGATGTTGCCTCGTGGCTGATGGAAGAGGAGTAGGTTTGCCAGTCTCCATCTGGCAGTTCTCGCACTTGTACTGTAAAATACCGTATTGGTGAAGATCCGTCACTTCCAGGGACCCACTTCAACAGCAGACTTCGTGATGACACATCACTCTGGGGGGTCATCAGCTGCCTGGGAGGTGCTGGTCGTTCTGCAATTAAACCATAATTTGGTACTGCTTTGAGAGGAAATTCTAGCTAACATAAAACATGACAGCCTGATCGGATTTTCATAGTGGTAATGCCACAGGAGATTGAACTTTCGGGTTTGCCCGATGAAGTATACAACCCATCCCATTCCTTAACCTTCTACTGCAAAGAAGAGCAGTTAAACTGATTCTTATCTCCCCACATAAAAGGTCACCACTGAATATACACTTGCTCAGCAGCAGACCTCAAACTTGGGGAGGTCTTAGCCTGGCAGGTTAAGGAAGAATCGCTAAGACCCACAGCCAAGCAACCCAAGGAAGTCTTTAATGAAACTCAGCTGTGCTTCCAGCTGCATTTGCACTTTTGACAGAGTTTGCCTGTAAAGTAGTTCACTTTTTAACCTCTGCTTACTACTTGGTACCATGGGACTATGTTCCCTCTGTGCTATGTAGCATCCTCTTCTACCAGCTGCTCCCCAGTCGAGGCATGAAGAAGAGGAAGGGATGAGCTGGAACAAGCTGGTGTGTAGCAGAGTCCAAGCACACGACTTACAGCCAATCCTAAATTCCTGCACCAGTTCTCTCTGGCAAGGAACAGGGAACCATCAGCAGCTCCTGCTGCTGCTTCCAAACCCCAGCTTGGAGATAGTGCAGAGCTGGGGCTCGAGTACCTGCTGCAGTTCACTTCCAGACCTCCCCAGTTCTTCTCTTCATAGCCACTAACCGTGAACCTGCAAAGTCCAACCAGCCAGTGCCAATGCTGAGGGAGATCTCTCCGCAGTAATTAACTGTACACCTTTTAGATGAGGCAGGGAATGGTAATGCAGGTGTAAGCATGCCAGTCCCCAACTGTTTCAATATAGATCTCCTTTCCCGTCACTGTGTCTCTGCACTCCATCGATTTCAATAGAGAAACTCTATAGAGTGAGGAATAATTGTTTAATTGTTTATCATGAAGATTATTGATTCTGATTAAAATGTGTGGCATGTAATAAAGCAGAAATTGATCGGAGACACCGCAGTGACTTGCTTTTGAGAAGCAATTCAATTTCATCAGCACTTGTTTCCTTAAACACACCTCCGCCTGCCCGATTCCTTACAGCTCTCTATGGCGAGCACTTCATTTCCCTGCCATCCCCTACAACCATTTCCTATATGTTTTGGCATTTCTCTGCAGCATGCTCTTGCTGACATCAGTGCCCAAAGATTTGTAAGCTATTAGCTGGAGGAAGCCCTCCGTGCCAGCAGCCTGTGAGCCGGAGTACAATGCAAAAGGTCAATGCCTTACACTGACAGGCTGAGACAGGTATTCAGGGTTATTCTATCAGAGGAAGCGAGTGTTGTGTGGGGATTTAATGCTCCCTGCCGATAAGCTTTAACCAGCTTGCAGTTTTGGGCAGGTCAGATCTTGCAGTCAGTCTCCCATGATTGGGTTTCCTTCTGCTGCTAATGGGAGATCTTAAAATCTCCTGTACTGCAAGATATACTTCAGGACTGTTTGTACAAAACCATTAGTATGAAGAGTTTATTTGTGGGAGTTTAGCCACAAAGCAAATGCTAAGGTGAGCTGTTTGTGCAGGAACGTAAGGCCAGGCCACATGACTCAATGGACTCCTTTTAATTTCTCGCTACGTTTACATCTCCTAAGTTCTGCCCTGACCGCTGGTGTTAAGTATTCTGAAGGGTATCACACCACTATGTAGATTCAAAGCACTACAGAAGAACTCTGGAGAATACAGCTACGATACAACTTGGGATCTGTAAATCAGAGATATCATTGTAAAATGTAAAGATTTATATTGGGATTATCCAAGGAATTTAAAAGGACAGGAGTGACCATTTTTGCTAACTTTCAAGGGAATTTTTGTGCCTGCCTACTTTAGTATCAAGGACTACAAGGATATTAAAGGCATTTTTATTAATGGAAATTAAATATCTCTTCACTCTAGAATATTTATTGTCATGTATACAAGTTTCAGGTTTGTTTGTTTATTTACTTGTTAGCAGAATAGCTGCACTGGGTAAATTTCTTTATCATCTCCTCATATCAATCTTGCTGATGTGAGATTACACATTTTTCTCTCTACACGTTACATATGGGATCACTTCAGTTAACTCTCAGTACCTTGGGACTCAGTTCCATAGCATGCATGGAGACACAGCAGAGCCATCCATCAAAAAGAGAAAGGGTTCATTTTATACTATGACTTGCCTATTCAAGATAACCGTAAAGCATTGATAGCAATGAGGGATCAGTGTTCCCGCAGTGGAGCTGGGAGTTCTGCCTTGAGCTATTGTGTATCCAGCAACAGCTTGTGCACGGTCTGGGAAATCTGAGCACATTTTATTGAAAAGGAGAGGCTCCGAGCTTTGAGTATTCACTTTATTGGGCATGGTGGATTTTTTTTTGAAACTTCCACATGTTGGACTTTAAAATTCCACTTTGACAGCAATCAGACAGGGGTGGAAGAAACCTTCAGCTGATAAATCTCTTTGATGGACAGTATCTTTAGCAGAGGCACTTCAAGTTTCCTAATACAGCTCGAGTTTCTTTCTCTGAGAACTGCACTGTTACGGGCCGGGAAGGCTACACATGACCTGGAGACCTATGCCAGTGGGAATTTTAACACCAACCAGACAGGCCAGAAGTAGCTGAAATGCACCCCACAGGTCCTCGCTGCTGGTGGTTGAACATCAGGCCAATGTCCTCTCTTCTTAGAAGTGTTATAGGAAAATAATAAGACGACATTGTGGGCAAAGAGCATGGGAAATCCTTACTCTTGCACTAAATGATTTGAAAGGTGTAGAAAGGACTTAAAACAAGAGATTGCTTAATAGGCACATTTTAAGAACTAAAAGTAAATATAATTGCTTGTATTATAGTGCAATACTTGGGCAAGAGCCAAGACCAGGCACACAAGTACATGCAAAAGTGCTAGCAATAGTTGAAAGATGTCTATGGAGGTCTGCCCTAGTTACCTGCTGAAGTGTGCTTCTCTCTGAACTGTGATTTTTATAAGTCACAGAAGTTGCATCGTTGTAATTTTTGAGGGAGAAGTTTTCTTAAAGATCAATATCCAGACAGCACAATGGGTCAGAGTGGCACATGGCACAGAATCCAGCGATACGCAAGGGAGTGATGATGGTAAAGTTACCCTGGCTAGTTTTGACTTTGCCAGCTCAAGAGACCAGATACATGCTTCGCAATGGAACATGGCATATAGTACAAGACCAGAGGAAAACCCACACTCCTGTTCTCCACCAATATATTATCTTTTAGCTCCAAATTAAAAAAAAAAATCTTCATGCTCAAGTAGAAAATATAATTTTTCTAACTGGCAGCTCTAGAGATCTGTTCTAAGGCTGGAGAATTGAGCAGTTACTTGAGCCAAAGCACTAGAAACAAGCAATGATGCAGAGCAGATTCTGGGTGATCCAAAATGCAAACACTCTGCTCGAGTGTACAGCAGTGAAAGGCCAGAGTAATTACTAACACGTTAGGTCAGGACTGAGGTACAATGGAGAAGCCGTGGAGAAATCCTGCAACATCACCGCCTCTCATTTTGCATTCCTTAATCAATACAATTCATCCATCACTTACTTTCTTAAGATTGCAATCTTTCTAGAAAACAAGAGAGCTGAAATAAAGATCTGACTGCAGAAGGAGGCTGCATATGGCCAATATAGCAGCTGATGGAAAAATCAATCTCCAACAGCCCGGCAGGTTAGAAGAACTGTGTCTCATAAAAGTCTGTCTTGCTCACCAGGTTTCTCAAATCACGATGTTGCTATGGTTTGGGGCAGGTTGATGGGGTCAGAAGGAGGAAGTGTACAGGCTGTAGCCCGTTATTAAAATTCCCCTAAGTGCAGCGCAGGCTCCAAGGCATGCAACAGAAAGTACCTCAACCTGTGGCTGCAAGCATTACCTCTTTTTTCTGTTGTGATCACTGTGGCTTCCAGAGGCTCCCCCCAGCCCTGCCTGGTCTTGGCAGATGTCCGAAAGATGTATGCTGACTCAGGGGTGAGATCTGTAGCAGTAAACTGCCGGACTGTTGAGCCAACCTCCACCGTCGTGAACTTGTTAGGGCTGCTGCTGGCCAGACGGTAGGCAATCTGATACCCTGAAATCACAGCGTCAACAAGAGAGAGAAAAAGGGTTAGGATTTTTTTCTAGCAGGGACAAAAGAGCACTAAAACTATTAGTTTATCATAATTACTTGTTTATCTGAGACCAGAACAAAGTAATTTACTTCCTTTAGTGTTATAAAACTCTGCTGCATGGCAGCCCTCCCCCAGTCAGGCGCTGTACCCTACAAGGGAAATTGCACACAGTGGCGCACACAAGGGTCTACTCAGTATTATCTGCCATGGAACTGATTTCACTTTCCATCCTTTATACCAACAAGATACAAAACCAGTTTAATCTTTCCTAAGCATACCGATACCTTTCTGGAAAGGCAAAGGAACAGAGTCCATGCAATTAATGTCACCTCGTTGAGCCAGTTCAAGACAACACACTCTGTGTCAGCTTTCCACCCAAGCACACACGCTCACACGTGCATGTGTATGCACACACACTCACATGCTGTTCTGCCCTCTCACAGTTTCAATGTTGGCTCAAACTAAAAGTTCTTCAGCTGCAGAGCAGCTGGATTACCCAAACCGTGCAGCCTCCATACCTCTCAAGTAAAGGCTTGCTCCTGCTTTTTGCACTTGTCTTTTTCTTAGCTCTCCCACTCCCCTGTAACTGTACAGCGAGTGCCAGAACTGCCAATAAAAGCATCCTTCTTCTGTCATTCAACGTTGCTGCCCTTGCCCACAGCCCAAGGAAGAAGCCTGCAAGCTGTGAGGTCCTGCTTCAACCACGCGGAGCTTAATAATCAATTTTGTTGATGCCTGCAAGTGATAACCCCCATTCCAACCTGCCTGACAATTAGGATTTCACAGTTTAGCCTGTATTATTAATGATCCAACTATGCAAAGGAGGGCTTCCAGAGTTCTCATGCACCGCTAGCAACAACTGTCCCCCAAAGAAGATCTGCCAAATACTCAAATCCAGTCTGTAAACCCAGCAATTGAATCAGGCTCTCACTTCTGGAGCTCGATAGTAACTTTCAGTCCAGCTGCTGACTTCCAAAATCAATTAATACCAGAACTGGTGTGGGGCTTTATTGCCCAAGCTGAATACAGTTGTATGATTAAACGCTTCATGGAGTTACACAGGGCAGAGGGCAGCCAACAAACCCAAATCAAACCAGCTGAAAACAAAACAGTCATGACATGATTCTGCCAACCCTCTGCTCATCTTCCGAATCACAAAGGGGTCTGTAGCACCTGAGACCATCTCTTTCTCTTTGAATTAATATCCCAGCTAGAGTTTGAACTCCCACCACATTCTGGCTGTAACGAGAGCAAGGGGAGCCAAACCTGGCGTGCTTCATTTGTGAAGGTCAGTGCATGAAAACTGAGGTTATCATCTTACCTGTGGCTATTAGACAAAATCGCCGACATTTATTTCCCACTGTGAATATGCAACAACTGCCACATGCCGACTCACAGAAAAGGCACAAACAGAGTTCCTGCACTTTCTTGAATGAATGCCATACTTGTGTGTGGTGCACGCTGTCGCGAACAGTGGAATTTAATTGGGATACAGATGGTATGAATTTTGGTGTGCTGACTCTCACAGTGCTGTTGACAATGCACCAGCATTTCCTTGTCCTTTTTCCTTCGGCAGCTGCTAGGGGATGTGGAGCACCAGCCATAGCTGCCTCACATGGAACAAATTTGACTGCACCAACACCTTGAAGGGTGACTTGGCTTTTCCAGGCACCTGTGACTTCAGCCCAACCTCCCGCAGGCTGCAGTTACAAAGAGGTTTGGGTACAGAGCCGAGCCACTGAAGTGCCTTAACACACTTGGGGCACCCACATTTGAAAATGGGCATCAGCAGCGAAAGGCTCCCAGCGCCCCACTGGGCTCACCTCATGCTGCCTGGGGCACCCTCACACAACGCAGCAGTTGGTGTCTCAGGCATATTCCTACAGCAACATTTTCACAGCTGGATGGATAGCATGAGACTACTAGATAAAAACTGGCCTGATTTTTCAGAGCTCCTGAGCATGCTTAGATCCCAGCAAAGTCTTAGGGTCTTATACTTTGAATGTTTCATTTTTCCACCTGCAAACTACCTCCTTTTATCCACGCCACCAGCTCTCCCATTACTGGTCCAATATATTTTACCAAAGTATTTCTGTATCTTTAGTACTATAGTATTTTGATCTTTTTTAAGGTCTACATAAAGACAGCTAGCAATGGGGAGAAGGAATGGATACACTTACGATCTTTTTTTGTTTATACAGATATGAAGAACGTGGGAGTGAAAACCCCCAGTGCAGGATCTCAATAAGGGGAAAAATAGTCAAAGAAAAGCACGGGGGAAATTTTACAGCAGCAGGAAAGATGAAGGAAGAAGCAACTAAGATGGCTAAAGAAGTTTGATAAAGGGACATAAGATGTAAAGAATAAGACCTGGAGGGAAACAGAGAATATTAAAAGAATAGAAAAGTTGATTTATCTAGTTATTAAAAGATAAGTATGATGTTTGGGACACATCCTTGTCAAGCAATTTCCTCTCTTTTCTAAACCTTTGTAAAATATAAAGTGTAGTTAAAATGTAAGGAGGGAATAGAAAGAGAACTATTTACTGCTAAATGGTGGTACTCATGCTGGAAAGCCAATTACAAACATGCTCAGATTAGGCAAAGGAACACATACATATCTAGGCCATTATAACAACTTACACAGGAGTGGTTCCTTGGCTGGCGTAAAAACTAATTTAGCCATGAGAAAGAAGAAATCACTTGTCACAGCCTGTCTCTGACAGGCTCTGCAAACTCCCTTTCAATGCCTCCCTGTGAAAAACAGTATCAGCTCTCACCGTCCTCTCCTACATCTGCCGTGTTGGCTGACAGTCTGGGTAAATATCTGTTTTCCTGGATATCTGAGGCAGAGTTTACACAACCAGAGCCATCACCTTCACATATTTCCTCAGAAACTCAACAGTTCCCTTGGTCGGATTCGAAGGTATGTATCCGACTTCTGGCACCTGAACTCAGCTCGCTCTTATTGCTACCTACAAACCACCTGAGGGATACCCAGTATCTTAATTTTCATCTCCTACATCACCTTCTCCTATTGGACAGTTTGGGACAGTCAGGATACACACTGGCATGAAAAGCACTGGTTTTCTTTTTTTTCCTGAGTGGCACAGAGGACGCAGTATTTAAACCACAGCTCGGATAATAATTAGGGCTAATGCAAGATCAAAAAGATAAAATTATTAAGCTGATGAATTTCAGCAACAAGGGATGGGAGAAGACAGGAAATGTTAAGTGAAATCAAACGAGGCAAATCAATAGAGGTAAATGGAAAGTGTTCAAAGAGAAATTAATGTATGCTCGAGGGCTATAGGAGGCAATAACTGCAATTGCTGCAGTGGAGGAATAAGGAAGCTTCCTTCCCTTACTCGATTATGACAAGAAGATGTCACAGATATCGTAGGTTAAAAAAAAATAAAAATCAAAGGTTATGAAGGAAAGTAAAGTATTTAAAAGGTGATCAGAGCAAGGTTTTTTGGGGAAAGGAATATCTTGCAGAATATGAAGTATCTGCATGGTCAATACGAACTCATATTGTTTTCTTAATTTTTCTTCCCCCCCCATATAGCATTAGATCCCAAATCTCTTCTGGTATTGGGAGTTCTGCGCTTCACCAGACCAAAACAGCATTAAAAAAGCCCTGAAAGATCAGCTCTTCAGGAGTTTATTTATTCATTGAAACTAGGCTTATTTTTGCATTAGTATCTTTTAAAGTATTTTTTGCACAACTGCAAGCAGTTTCATGAGCTACGCTTTCGGAACTCAATAAACAGCAACAGTCTGAACTGCCTGTTAAATGTTAGGTCATTGTAACACAACCAGTGGATTCCCCAAAGCAAGCAGGCAGGAAGATGACAACACACCATGAATATAAAAAAGCTTTCAAGCTCATCACCATACAAAGCCCTTCAGAACTGACAGCACCCGTTCACGCAGGCCACGGTGCAGAGGAGATACAAACGCTTATTAATTTGTCACAGAACTTAGGGAAAGCCGAATGATATTGGGAGGTTACGGTCTGCCTAGTGGAGCAGCAATCCAGTTTGTTGATTTTACTGCTTATCTGTTTAAGGGCCAGCGGGTGTGCAAATGCAGTCTAGGATCAAAATATGAATTTGCAAACATGGATTACATCCTATTTTGGTTCTAACACTCAGTGGAGTTCTTACGCTCTTTTGCAATAAGCTTCAGGTAAACGCTACATACAAGGATACTGAGGAATACTAACCAGGGCCTGGAAGGATGCAGGTTGAGCGCTTGTTTTCAGAGGAAGCTCATAGCTAGAAGTGCACATATGCACATTAATACATCATTTTTCTTTAATAGTATTTGAAGGAACTATGTTGGGTGCTAGCTGAACTGCGTGTGGAAAAAGAAGACAGAGTGAAGCCTCAGATGGTTAGCGTAACATTCCCAAAAGGAGCAATGGAAATATCTAGCAGTCTTCCACAGTAAAATATTTAAACAAACAAACAAGTGGTTTTCCCTCTTGGTGCCTGCCAGTATTTCATCCCACTAATCTCTCTCTGAAATGCTAGAACATGTTTTGATATAGATTACAAAAATGTTAGCTGCAAAGGTGCTTGTATACTCAGAGGACAAAGCTAGCAGAGCAGGAACATTAGTTCAAAGGCTCTGAATATAAGTTGCTCTTGCAGAGCAAGTATTTTTTCTTTCCAACCCCACTCTTGAATAGAAGGGCACAGCGCAAAATTATGTTAACTTATTTTTTTCAACAACTCTACTTCAGTGCACTTGACTGTGGTGGTTACAATGGTGTTTTTCAAAGTTCATTACAGAACGAGATTTAAAAGGTGTACAGGAAAAAAAAATAAACTTGCAACCTTTACATAGAATGCTGCACATTGGTTATGTATTTTTGAAGCACTCCTCACTTTTTAGGAAAGATCACAAAAGTACCCAGCATGAGTAATTTTTACTTTTTCTCTCTGACATCGGCAGCTAACTACTTCCTCCACAAACATTAATGTTTCTAATCTCAAAAAAATAAAGGAGTGAGACCTGTTGAATAAAGACAATGGACTTCAAAGAGGTGGACTGGGGGAATTGGCAGGTAACATCCCCCTGGGAAGGAATTCTAAGGGAAAAAAGAATTCAGGTTAGCTGACAGTTTTAAAAGAGACAAAAAAAAGGTAGAACTATCCCAATGCAGACAAAAGATGTTAAGAGGCCAATATGTTTGCATTCAGAGCTCACTAATGACCTGGAAATCAAAACTGAATTGGACAAAAGTTGAAACAGGACACATGTCTAAGGGAGTGTATAAATAGACAGTACAAGCACGTAGGGACAAAATCAGAACGGCTAAAGCGCAAAGTGAGTTAGAACTTAAAGGGCATCAAAGGCAACGAGAAAGATTTTATAAATACATTAGAAATTCGAGAGACAGAAGGAGGACAGGTCAACTACTGGGAAGAAAAGATGAGCACAAGACAGGTGAGACAGAAAAGAACAGACGGCTGATACCTCTGTTGCTTCATTTTCACACACACACAAAAGTTGACGCTGACTAGATACTTAACACAAATTAAAACTGACAACAATATAAGTAGGGATGTAGGCTAGAATAGAGAACAGGTTAACGAATATTTAGTTAAGCTAGATGTAATCAACTCAGAAAGGCCTGATGAAATTTGCCCTGCAGTGCTTATATAACTAGCTGGAGCCATCTCCGAATAATCAGTGATTATCTTCAAGAACTTGTGGAGGACAGGTGACATGCCAGAATATTGCAGAAGGGCAAACAGAGTACCCTATCTTTTAAAATAGGGGAACGAAAAAACAGAGGAATTATGGACAAATCAAGCTAAAGTTCAATACCCAGAAAGGTCCTGGAAAAAAAACGTGAGTCAATATATAAGCATCCATGGGGATAATAAAGTGCCAAGGAACAGCCAATATGTATTTGTCTGGAGCAAATAATAAATATCAAATAATCTATTTTCCATTTTGACAGTGTAATTGGCCAGGTGGGAAGAGTAGATATGATCCACATTGACTTTAAGTAAGGCTTTAATATGGTTGCACACAGCCCTGTCAAAAGCAAGAAAGAGAAACAGAATCTAAGAAAAATACGACACATTTTTACTTGAACACTTTAAAAAAAAAAAGTCAAAATGTTGTTAGCAGTAGTTTGCTAACAAACTGGGAGAACATATTAATTAAGGTCTCATGAGAATAAGTCATAAGTCTGGTTCTGTTCAATATTTTCATTAACGACCCGGCTGATGGAATTGCCAGACTACTTGCAAACTTCAAAAATAAAACCAAATTGTGAGTGGCTGTGAGCCCTTTAGAGGACAAGAGTGTAATTTAAAGAGATCTTGGTAATGAGGAGAGATGGTCTGGAATCAGAAAGATGAAATTCAATAAAGGCACCTGCAAATTATCACACTTACAAAGAAAAAGCTTAATGTACATATGAAAGAGGGATTGACTGGCCTGGAAGCGTACTGTGGAAAAAGGGTAGGAATTAATAGTGGGTCATAGACCTACTTAGTTACAACATTGGTGTTGCAAAAAAGCCAAGTCAGGACAGTATCGAGTATCCTGGGATGTGTTACTGGGAATGGACTGTGCAAGACATCGGAAACAACAGTCTACATGCTAAGCATTCCAAGCATTCTTTAAGGGACACCCTTCCCCTTTCTTTCCAACCGTGCATTCGTATGATTTTATCATCAACGTAGTGGCAATGAGTAAGAACCAACTGAGAAGGGGATGCGTTGCACAAAGCACTGTGCAAAGACAAAATAAAAGAGAGTTCCTGCTGCACCGAGCTTGCAACTTCAGCAAATAAGGCTGACAAAGTGCAGCAACGTGAGACATTGGAACACAGTCGGGAGAGCAAAAGCTCTTTTGTACTTTCTCATCATTTCTATCAAATGATTTTTTTTTCCTCCTTAACCACATCCTGTGATTCAAATCCCAATCTCTACTGAGAGCAAGCTTCTAGGACACACAGTTCCTTAAAAAAAGCAACAAATCAAACCCACAAGACAACCTGGAAGCCAAGCTTCCCTGAGCTGCAGAGAAACCCTGTGTGGATCTGTCTCTGACAGCTAACCGCTGCCAAGCTTCACACAGACTCTTTCTCATGCTCAGAAAATCCCTGCAGCATCTGCCTTCGGATCCCATTTGATGATTTCCCTGCATCTTCAGGCATCGGGACCACCCCCTGAGCACTTTGGGAAACCACACACCTGAGCAAACACTTTAAGTTCTTGACTCAAGATTTCAAGGCAATGCAAGACCGGTCCTTTATTTAAAAGGGTGCCACCAACACTAGCATTTCAAGTAGGCACCCTCCACCCAACAATGAAGGCTTTGGGAAAGATTGCTAAAAGACTACACGCAAGCCTGAATGATGGCAGTGAAATTAGAAGCAGAAAAGCCTGGCAGACTGAGAACTAAACAAAACCCAAAAGCTTTCATTTCTCTTTTTTTCCCCACAATTGAGAGACAAATCTTTACTCACCAGCTAGAACCACCGTAAAATGCGCTTAACATCAGCAGAGAACACAAAATTGCTGGGTAACTATTAGCTACTTCAATTTTAGAGGCAAGAATGGATTCCTACATTGTAAGAGTCTTCATGTTTTAAGTACAAGTAACTGCTGGTGTACACATTGCAAAGGCAACCCAAGAGTTCTGAGAGCAGGAAGATAAGAAGGTTTTTCATGAATTTCTGTTGTCCCTTGCTTTCCCTATTTCCCTAAAGCTAAATGTGAGTTAACTCCTTGTGACCTGACAGTCAGTATTATCCAAAGGAAGCAATAAAAGAGAAGCATACATGAAACTGAAATGTTGGGCATGCCCAGAAAAGGCAAATGCGGGGGGGAAGGAGGGGAAAATCCAGCTCTCTCCTGCTGCGGCTCAACAGGCAGGTTGCCCAACAGCCAGCCAAACAGGTTACAAACCCAAATGCGGATGGGAAGAGAGACGATTGAAACACAGTGCCATGAATGACATGTCATTCCGACTCAGGAAAACACACACCATGGAGCTGGGCAGGCTTTTCCTCCTCACCACAGGGTACCATGTTTCTCAGCTGACACCGACATATTTTCTTTTCATTAGCCACAGATTTGCTTATGTGTGGTTTCTAATCTGACATGCAAGGGGAAGGAAAACCCAACAGCCGGAGCTCACTCTGGTCTCCAGCCCTCTCCTCCCAGCCCTGGGTTTGCTGCTCCCTCTTACCCAGAATAATTCCATTGGGCTCCTCTGGCGGCTGCCAAACAATCCGTACGGATGTCAGCCTCACCTCAGGGAACACCAGCCTCACAGGCGGCCCGGGGGCTGGAAAGAAAAACAGAGATCGTGCTAGCAAGCATTGCATGTCAGAGGAATTACAAGTTCTCTGATCACCTTACATAGAAGGCAGCTCAAGCTGTATCTCACCAATAAAATAAGTAGATGGTTAGGAGCACCTATGTACGTACAAAATATAAATTTATTCTGAGGAATCCTGTCCGTGGCCAAATGCCTCCGGCACCCCACGGACACCAAACACAACACAGAACCAGTGCACCCCACAGTGTTTTACCGCACCTGTGAAATGCATTTAGCAGGATGCTCTGACAAAGGAGCTCTGACCTCCGTGAGAGTTATCTCCCAGCAGCATGACAGGGAGTCCCTGCCAGCCGGCCGCATCACCGCTAGGTAACTGATTACACACTGTGAAGCAAGTCACCAAGCTGCCTTTACAGAGAGTTATGTGTCAGCTTAATCTGCTTCATACCTGTTGGAATTGAATAATACCTCCTCTCTGTGTCATCAGCACCAGCTTTGAACTGCCTTCTGATTTTACATGTGCATTTTAAACACTTAGGTCTGAGCAGGAGAATCTGAGGCAGGTGAGATGCACATTAATACAGACGGCTGGTGGCTGCACTGACCATCCCAGGTTCACAAGGTGAGGAGATGTTAATTCATATATTAGCGTTGGCAAAATTTCCCCATCAGCACAAATTCCACCTGCATTACCCCTGACGATACATTTAATTAAGTTGAGACCAGAAGAGACAACTATTTATGTCAGGGGTATGGAGATGGAAGAACAATTTGTATCATTTGCCAACATAGACTTAAGGAGGGAACTGCTATAATGGGGTTATCTAAAACAAGCAGTTTTAAATATTTCTCATTATAGGCCAATATGTACATTTCAGTGAGTGCTTTTTTGCTCCCTGCAGAGTTCTGCTAACAGTAATTTCTCTTTGTTTCCTTTCAAAGAAAAGCGAAGTCCCCACACAGGCAGCGTGCTGAGAAAATGGCTAAAAAGATGTCCGGGAGCTGCTGTCCCCTGTTCCTGTCCTCGTTCCTATCCCTGCATGCTCTTACTCCTTCCCCGCACTCCGTAGAAAATGCCTTGTTAAGCCAGAAGTCTGAATGAGTTTTCAGCCCAACCAAATTACCTTAATGAAGTTGCTTGTAGAAACCAATGTTTATTCCATTGCTATTGAAAAGATTTTGATGAAAAAAGAGACTTTTTTTTGTGTGTTCCTCTTCATTGGGAGTAATAAATAGAAGCCTCTCACACTGATACTAACCTTCATTTAATATTGAAAAGGTAGTGAAACTAAAAGTAAATTGAGCATCTGCAAAGCCAAAAATATTTTAAGAGTTGAACTACATTTCTGTAAAACCCCATCACAGCAGGAATGCTCCCACCACACCGACGTGTTCAGAGAGCACCGGGGCGAGAGGCTCGCTTGGGTCCCTTCAACACAAACCGCACTCGGGAGTCCCTGAGCTCAGGGGAAGCACTGGAGGCAGTTGCAAAAGGCAGCTGGTATGATCATCTTCCAGGGTCTTACTCTTTTGGGAAAAAACTGAGAATGGATTACTGAAGTTGCAAATTCCATCTCTCTCCTTCAGTCCAATCAGACACAGATTTGTTTATTGCTTTCAATTGCAGCACTCTCTTTTTTTTTTTATTAGAGCATGACTGAACTTCAATGGGAATTTATAATTGGGCTCTAAAAAATTGTCTTCAACAGAAATTGGCTACACTGAGCTTCAGAGTACAATTTTAGAAGTTTCTTTCCTCTTCATCAGCTGCAGGGAAAGAAGAATGGGAGACTCTGGTTTTCTGTGTTTTCGCCAAATCCTCAGCCTGTGACCAATGGAATAGTGCTGAGTTATACTAGGTAGGGACCAAGTCCTTTAGGTTCAAAGTTGGAAAGAAAAAAAAAATTCAAAGAGCTTTAGTTTGGGCTGTCATCTACACTTGCATCACTAGAAGAAAGCAGTGTTAAAAGGTTGGGTCAAATAAGACACTTATTTTGGTAACCTTTAAAACTTACCATCATCCTTGGTTCTTTCTATAACTGCAGGAAAGCTGGGGACTCCATCTCCGATACGGGTGAATGCCAATACCTGGATCTCATAGAGCACGTATTTCCGCAAGCCAGACAGCAGGAAAGACTGAGTGTGGTTACCTCTTACTATTTGGCTCTTTGGTTCAGAGTCTAAATCTTTTGCTTTGAAAAGTATCTGCAGAATAAACGTATATGAAACATAGAAAGAACAAGATTGTTGCATGAGGACTGAAGAGAGGGGGCCGCATTTTAGATTCCTCCTTTTCACAAAATATAAAATGAGATGATATTCACTAGTCACCCCTTTCAAAACCAGCACGCTTCCTATATCTTCTCCAGCTGATTTATGAATAATATAAACATCCAGCAGGTGAATAGTAAATAACAAATGCAAAAACACATCCAGGTAATGCACTAAAAAAATAAGTAAGCATGAAACTCCAGTTGCATACCTTGTAACCCAGGACGAGACCGTTCTGCTCGGACTCAGGGACCGCGGTCCATGTCAGAAGGATCTGGGTTGAACTCACGGCTTCAGCAGAGACATTCTCAGGAGGAGCAGAGGGAACTGGAATCACACGGCATAGCCAAGAGCAGAAATAGGTAAGGCATACTACATAATTTTGCCCCATCTCCCTGTCTGCTTGGGATTGTTCCAGGATCCCATAGAAGAGTATTCAAATCCAAAAGGACTGGAATAGGTTCTAGACAATCCCTTTTTCTCTTGTATTCATTCTACATCATCTTTATATTTCAGCCTGCTTCGCAATTTCTTGCCAGTTCATCTCAGAAATCACAAAGTTTGTAAAGAGCTAAACATTTAGTATTAATCAGTGTCTTCAGATAGGCAGTAAATATAGACAGATATGAATTAATTTCAGGTTCTATATATTTGCCATAATTAGAATCAAGTTTAAATTGCTGGACTTCTACAGAAGTCTATCTCTTAGTATTTCTTTCCCATACATTTTATTTCCCTATGCCAAAAGCTAGAAATCTTTATGAATGGGAGTTTATCTTACAGTCCGATCTGTTCTAACAAGAAGTTTTACGCCACCCTGGCTTCCTATATTATCTGAAAGGAAATTATAGCATCTTGTCTAGAGTTAGCAATAATTTCAACCGCTGGATTGCACTCCCAGTTCAGTCAGAAGTTCTTTAACCTCTAAGCCTTTTGATTATGTGATAGTGCTCAACATTTGCAATACATCAATTATAGACGGATACATTAACACAAGGTGTATTTTCAGGGACTGATACGGTGTAAATGAAAGATATGCCTATTTCATTTATGTTGCAAAATTGGCTCTTATGAAGCCAGAAACATCATTAGAACTGATGGCACAGGAACACTGTAATTTTCTCTGACTCGAGAGAAGAGCAAACTTGCATTTTCTCATGACATTAAAACTCTAACCGCTGCAGAACGACCACACAACTGCAGGCTTTTGTAGGCAAGCTTAATAGCACGCCGTGTTACGCAAGCAGAATTTGAGGCTATTTTTAAGAGTTCACATTTTATGCTGCCCTTTTGCATTTTTTTTGCCTGTGGCATTTCCAACATCTGAAGGGTACAATCTTTTCTAAAGCATGATACACCTGTCAGACCTCAAGAGAACATTTCACCAAGTTATGTTACACAAGCACTTATGGACAGTAAGGCTTGATTAGGTCCCTGAATATATTACAAAAAGGAGCACAAATCTCTGCCAAAAATAATGCTTTCCTGGCTGTCCGAATGAAAGAACAGATCTGCTGTTTTGAAGGCGAGCTCCTGAAGCTCCTAGCAACATGAACGAGATAATGAGTATGACACCAGAATTAATATAAATTGGAAAAAAACCCACAAAAAACCCCACCCCCCACCCTTGTGCACTCAAGGTTAACTGCAGAGATAGTCATTTCTGAAACAATTTCCCTGTTACCAATTATTCGGGACATGAGAAAGAGCACCATCACACAACACTGCAGCAGACTAAAATCCAATTTTTTTCCCCTCCAACCCTGAAGTGCCTTTTTTTTTTTTTTTTTTAAATCTTCTCCTAGATTCATCCCCCACAAGGATATAATTAAGTTAAAGGAAAAAAGATTGCCAGGAGCCATGAATGTCTTTGGATAGCTGCCATAACTTTATCTGTAGATCTTCACAAAGAGCTTCTCTCACATGAATCACTTCTGGAGAGAGAAAGGGTGGAGGTGGGTCGCAGGAAACCAGAATACGTAGAGGAAAGCAGCCCTTTCCAGCCACATTTATTTTTATTTTATCTGGTTTGAAGCCTTTCAAGAGAGAAAAAGTTTCTTTATTTTACAAATATTTCTTTTCCTCTTTGATCAGCAGCCACGAGATTTCCCGAATTCACAAAAGGTGGAGGCTGTGCCCGGGCTGGCCCTGCGTGCATGCCTGCTTTGAGGTGTGTGTACGATCACGCTGCTGGCAGGGGGACTCGAAAGCTAACAAAGGAGAGAATGGTCTATCTGAAGATTTATTAGCCCAGACTCCTCTTAATTCCCAGTGACAGCCAGAGCAGCAACGTACCCTCTCGCTGGAAAGGAATCTAAGCCCAGTGCCTAAATGGTAAAAATACTTGTGTTAATTGAGCGTGCTTTAATTCTCCAGTTCTCATATTAGTGTTGAGAATTTTATTCTAATACGGATGTATGAATTCAGGACCTGCAAGTGATACTATGGATCTTACCGTTGCCAGCCTTTTATCAAGTAATAGACTTTGATTGACCCTTTACGAATGAATTGAAACTTAACCTTCATTTCTCCGACCCCTCTCCTCTCTCAGAATGTCCTGATTGAAAGAAATTACAGTTTGCTAAGACTAATTAGTGGCTTGAGTGAGGCATACAGATCCCCCTTTCCTCTGCAAGCTCCCTTTTCTAATGCTGGTTTCCTCAACCATTGCACTGAAGACTTTATTATAAGCTCCAAAGCCGAGTTCTCATTAGTAACCCACAAGAACAGTACAGAAGCCAAGCAACAGTGTCCAAAAAAATCTCAGAGCTTTAATGAAATGAACCGGAAATACCGAAACTAAATGATGAGCTAATCCAGCAAACTGCCAGCTGCATGATGTACTTTAGAAGATCAAACGTAGGAAATTACAGAGTTACTGGCACTTTGCACTGGAACTTCAATAAGAACTCAGGTTTTTAAGGTTATCTGTGTTGGCATCTAAGATCACGCATCCTCTTTCTACATCTGGCATAGCCCTATTTGATATGCAGCAAATGATGCTGGTTTATGTCTCTAACTGGGCCAAAAGCAGCTTTTAATAAGCTAGCCTGTATTCTGGCTTTCTAAGAAAGTTAGATAGTGGGATGCAGTGGTGTCGTCCACTTTTGCAGCTCATCTTAGCTGAACATCCATCATTGTTTTTTGAAACTAAAAATTAAGCTGGCATATTGTACATCTGCCATCAATTAAGAAGTGCAAATTTAGAGCAAGGTTCACAACAAAAGTAGCATAGCTGCAGTACACAACCATTTTGCCCATAAAATTGGATACCGCAGGCCAAATTCTCAGCTTGTATAAACTGACAAATCCCCGCAGTGACATTGGACCACATCTGAATTATCAAGCAATGATTTATCACACCACAGTAACTGCTTCATGAAGGTCAGCCTCTGAAACATCAAGAGATTGATCCTTGCCATAGATATGTGACCATGCTTGTAGAGTAGCTGATTTTGTAAGACAAGTATATACATTCATGTAGCTGAATATTAGGAGCCCAGAAATATTGAGGCACTGAGTTAGCTGTATTTGAGATGAATTGTTTGAAAATAAGAGGGTTTATATTTAAAAGGAAGCAGCCTTGTCAAGGTTGTTCTAATACATCAGAGGTCTTCACATTTTCTTGCTTTCTCTATATTGTACCTACTATCATTTTCAATTTATTGAGTGGAAACTGAGCTTGTTACTCTGCAGTTATTTTACACTGTAAAATGTAATGAGTTATTTAATTTCTAACATTACAAAAACATTTTTGGATTAATAAAACTTGTCCTGTTTAAAAATCCTAATTCATCCCCCTCCATCTTCAGCTGCTTGAAACCTTACCCCAGATTTTCATTTTAGGGTTTCCCAACTGTTTTCTAAGCCCGGGTTACCAAACCCTGCAGCATTATTTATTCTCTCATAGTTTCTTTGGTTTCAAGATGTTTTATACTCAAGAGCTTCAGAAACCGGAGAGAACCTGTAAAGGCATGCTCCTTTATTGTTAGCATGTGTGCTCAGATACTGGTGACATGATCACACATCCTAGAATAAACAGAAGTGTTGAAGTACAGCTTTATTTTTAATGAAGATTTTGGACTCCAGTGGCCATACTGTCATTAGATACCACGAGCTGATTTAGTGCCTGGGCTCTGACTTCTTAGGCTGCTTGGACAGTGTAAAACACAGAACCGTGAGTTCTGCCAATGAGCCCCCATGTGATCCTGGCCAAGCCACCTCTGGCCAGCTGTGAGGGATGTTTACAACCTGCAGCACCAGGCAAAACCAACTTCCCTAAGTCTCTGTATCTACAAAATGGAAAAAGAAATGTTTAGGACATCTGCTTTTAAAGTACTTTGAAAACATAAGCATTAAATAGAATTTTTCCCATAGTTCAGAAGACAGACCTAAAAACGCTTTGACCTCTCTCTCTGGCTTTGGATATCTTTTATTTGCATTTTAACCCTGTTTGTGCATACAGGTTAATTGCAGATTCCCTGAAGTTCTCTCACACAGCTTGCCGCTATACCCGCACTTCTTGTATATTCTAAATCTAGGAAGATACAGCCAAAAGTCTGAGCCCTGACTTGCTCTATTCAAGAAATCAGATGTTAGTATCAAAGCAAACACATAAAAATAACAAATGAGTCATTATGGCCTAGATCACAGCTTTGTGTTATTCTGCGCGCCTCCTACGATCAGTTTCAAGTCAACCTTCTTTTAATACTGCAAAAGAAAATGCCAAATACACACGTAACCTCTGATCTTTAGACGCTGAGCAAGAGCACTATAATCCTAAGGTTTTATGAAATCACTTAATCTTAGTATTTACTACATTTCAAAAGAAGTGTTTGAAGAGCAGCGGAAAGGAGAAAGTGGAGAATGCGGTATCTTTTTATTATGATACAGAACACTTCAAAACTATTTTGTCTGGGTCATGCTATCTCTAACTCCAGCACAAGCATGCCTTGTTTAAAATACCTCTGGCAATAGCTTTCCAATTACTACTTCCCAAAAAGCAACACTTTAATGGAGGGGGATGGCTTTGTTTAGCCTCTCCTTGGCTAGTTCAAAAGACAGTTATCTGAACCGGCAGACCAAATCCTGCCACGTACAGCACGTTCACGCTTCACACCAAGTAACGCTGCGTGGTACAGAGTGCACAGGCATGCATATGTGTGTCTATAAGTGTAGGGTACGCATAGAATTAAATTCCAAAATATTTTTAATGGAGAAAAATAGGGGGAAAAAGAAAAAAAAAATCAGTGTTGAACCTTGCATAAATACAGGTCACAGAGCTTTTATTATTAAACTTTAAACCATATACGCCATCCATTTTCTTATTCACTTGCAATATAAATTTTAATTTATCAGGTGCATGTGGGGTAGGTTTGGAAATACGTTTTGTGAAATTTCACAGCTGGAAAGCAGCTTTTCAAGATCTGTCTTTACTGTTGCTACTGTGCTCACAGTCATTTACTGTTGCCCGAGATTGAGAGTTTGCTTCTGATAATTGAAGTCTCTATGCTAGTGAGGACAAATCAGCTAGACAGCACAGTACTTGTGCTCCAGGTCTATATGCAGGTTATGTCTATATGCAGGTTATGTCTACAGAGCCTTGCACACACAAATTTAGAAGGCAGCTTTGAAAATGTGTCATCAAAAGCTCAGATAATTATTTTCTTCCTATACGGGTAATCAGCTTTCTAAAATAACTTGTGCCCTTTTAGCAATATTTGGTGCTTGAAATTAAATTTCAGATAACCACAACTGTGAGAAATTCAATGGCAATGGGGTACTGGGGAGGGAGAGGAAGCATGAGAGACCTGCTCGGCCAGAGGAGGCTGTATGCAAGCTGCTTCTGCTGTCCGTACTGCTGCCAAACGGGGGCAGGAATGGGGAGAGGTTGTTTTGTTTGCTTTAAATAAATAACCTGCAGGTTTATGCATGAAAGCAGGGTAGGAATAAAATAAACAAACAACTCCCTCAAATGTCTATGTGTCTTTTTGCCTTCAGTGCACCCAGAGATTGTGGTTTTTTCTTTCATTTTAGATTTAATGCATCAACAAGCAAAAAAATGAAAAACAAAACCAAACTGAACAAAAGGGCAGAAAATGCTGAAGTTCTCAGATGTCTCCTTCACAGCAGACATGGTGTTTTGACTCACCGGACTCCCGTGTGCGCCCTCTCACTACTTCGCTCCATGGTCCTGCCCCAATGGCATTGAAAGCCTGGATCTGCAGTTCATACTCCGTCCACTCCTCCAGATCTTCAATCGTGTACTCTCTTTCCAATCGGTCGTTAATAACCTTCACCAAGGTGGGAGACTGCAGATCCACACGCCAGAACTTGATCCTGTACCCCACTGACTCTGGATTGCCGTTATACTGCGTGTCGGGGAGGGGCTGGCAAATGACACAAAGAAAAGCACCATGTTCCTATACAGAACAAATCGCCAGGGCTTTCCAGACTATGTACCAAGGCTGTCTGGACTCATGTAAAGCCATAGGAAGGCAAAAAAGATGGAGAGGTTGATTTTTGGTTTTATTTATGTTTCACGATCTCTAAATTTCTATGTTGCTTGAAGTTTTCCTTTAATTTTTACCTTAATTTTGAATCAAATAGATATGCTCACAGAACTGTGCCATTTGCTGTGGGTGTATCAACAGAGATGATATGAATACAATATATTTCAGAGCTTTGTGATTAATTATGGAAATGAATGATAAATTGCTGAAGCACGTGACAAATTCATTTATCGTACACTTTTTACTTTTTTTACTGACTCTTTGCCTACTCATTTATCAGCAGAGATTTATTCTAGTATTCTAACTCCCCAAGCAATTTCAGAGATTAAAATATGAAATAATTAGCCTACTTCATGAAGTTTAGAGTTTTTCCCCGTAAAACTAACTATATGGTGCCATGGATGGCTGAGATTCTGTTCTGAATCACTGGGAAAGTTTGATACACATTAACATTTCACAGCTTAGAAGACAGTATCCCCCAGGCAAACAGGGCTAGAAACATGGCCCTTATTCTGTAAGGAAGGAAGGAATTCCCAGCTCCCAGGGGGACACAGATTCACCTGCAGGTCTTGGAAAAAAAAAAGATTAAATGCTTTCAAATACTGATGTTATTAAGCGTGAAAAAGGTATGTCAGGTCACTTTTAGCTGTGGCTGTTGCTCCTCCTGAACCCTGCACAGTTTGACTCATGATAACCAGGCTTCCAGGTAGCACAGCAAGGAAACACAATCTTAAAAAGGTTTTAAAGTCTCTTAAAATAACCTTGAGTTAATTTTGATGCAAGATATGTAGGTCTGGATATAGTACCAAAGGTTTAACAACACGGGCATGTTATTCACGCGGTAAAGTCACGAGTGAGTTACGTGGGTCCTATCAAATGAACTGCAATGGCTTTTCTATGGATACTGAGGTGACACCTTCAAGTTTGATGTTTCGGTCTTTCAAGGTTCAGAGTTCAGTGCAGCGTCCCACTGAGAAACTGGGACTATTCCTTTCTGACGGGAGAAAAACCCTCTTGTTTCTCGGCTGATTTTGACTTCCAGCCATAATGAGTTTATGCATGGAAAAGCTAACATTTGGGCAAAAGGAAACCTGTGCTTCATCAACTTCACACCACAGTAACCCCAGTGGAAAATTCTGCCTAACAGGGGAGAAGAAAAACCATTCTGGAGCAGGTTTATTGCCAAGTAAATCCCAATGTGGCAACTCTGCAGATAACTGAGACAGTCAAAGGGGCACAACAATGTCATCAATCACTGTATCTTCGCAATTAATAATTTCTTTCTATGTTTTATCACATAACTCCACACCATTTCACATAAATATAATCTTCCTACAGGAGTGTAATGTGCAAACTTTGCTGCCTCTGAACCACAGCTGTTCAGTACCTGCAGGATGATTGCCAGTGGCCAGTGTGCACCTTCCGGGGACTGTTTTGTACAAAGCAAACAACTGAGCCCTAGGAAACTGCAACTTGGCTCAAGTATATTATATTCCTGTCCCACATGTTGACCCAGACTGCGGAACTACAGAGTCTCAAAAGCCAAGGTTTTACACACAGGCATATATTCCCCTGATGAAGTGGCAGAAGTAGTGGCAGTAGGCAATTTAAGTGATTAATAAGGCACTTAAGCTAAGTCTCAGATTTGCAACCATTCTGAAAAAGGAAATAATTTTGCTGTTACTCCTTACACCAAATGCAAGGAAAAAGCATTCCTGAGTGCTGGCCTGAATCCCTGGGAAGCAGCCGCATCCCAAGCACCGGCACCCTCCTGCCCTCCGCCCCCGTTCCTCCTGGCCTGCTCACCACCCATCGCAGCCACAGGCTGGTCTCGCTGGCCGTGCGCACGGTGACGCTCCCGGGGGCAACATCTGGTGGAGCCTGCAGCGTCTGGATGACACGGGAGGGCTGGCTGAGCGGGCTGGGGCCCACCACGTTCACCTGCCGCATCCGGAACCTGGAGCGGAGGAAAGATGCGGCGCATGCTGTAACAGCTCAGTGAGCGGTACCTCTCTTTCCAGAACAGGGAAAAGAGAGAAAAATACAAATTAGGTCTTTCTAAATGTTCCACAAAGGTAGTTGCATGCAGGTCCCCTTTGTATTCACTGCTGAATGCTTTAGGGTAACCGCTTTCAGATACTCCCAGGTATTAAAAACATGAAAATGAGATTAGCTTAGGGTCTATTAGAAACTCAGGTATTTGTGTGAGAAATTTATGTTAATTATTCCAAGTCTGATGAGCTTCTGCTAGCAGTAAGTGATTTTTCTCTTGCGATGCTTGTACAATACATTCAGAAAGGTATTAAAATATCAAACTTCAGATATTCTCATTCCCTGTCAATATAAAAAAATATACTAGTGATAACATTTCCCCTCAATTACTGGTTGAAAGAAGCTGATTTATCCCTGTGCTGCATTTTCAGCCTTCCTGCACAAGAAAGATTAAGTTATTTAATATGGATATGCGTCTTTAAAAAAATACCTTTTCTGCTTGAAACCATCTCTTCTACAATAGAAGACCCTATTGGGTCACAAAAGGTTTAGAGAAATCTTTTTTTCAGGAAGCACAAAATAATTAAGACATGCTGTACATTTCAGATACTCTCACCCGTCACAAGCAATTAGAGGTATCCAGCGCTTGCACATAAATACATGACCTGTTCATACTAAACACTTAATGTTTGGACATAATGACTGAGCTCGGAAAAAGGGTGAGCTAGTCAACAGAGCAGTGTTTATTTATCCACTCTGTTTTCCCTAGGAAATGCATTAAAGGAGACATTAAACAAACACTGTCCTTGATTTGACTCTCAAACATTGGCACAAAATATAGAAAAGAAGCTGGCCGCTAAAGATGCGGTCTGATAATTAGCTCTCGTGATGTATTTCTTCAGTGGGCAATGACTAAAGGTGACTAGAGGACCACAAATCCATTTGGCAACAACTTTCTAGGTTTCAAAAAATTATATAAAATTGCTCTACACTGAAACAAAACCAACAAAAAAGCTCATATCTGTGTATGCATGAAAGAAAAAAAACTAGGCAAAATTCAAGGAGCTGCTTTAGTCTACAAATTATGATGAAAAAGATCAGAGGAGAACTGGAAGCGTGACAGGTGCCAGTGCCAAGCAGCATAACTGCACCTGCTAGGTGTGCAAGTCTTTCTTATTTTGCACGGACACTGAACATTGAACTCTGGTACAACCTGCACTTTACTGTTCACCTCTGCCTTTTCAGCTTTAAGGATCCCCCTATATGAGAGCAAAATCTTCTCAACCTGAAGATAGTTTTCCTAAACCTCTGCACCAGAAAGCTCTGCTCAAGTTCAGAAATTTTCAGAGAGCTTTTAAGTAAAATGTTTAGCTCTTGAGGATGGGGTGTAAAACACTTCGGTGCAGAGTTTGTGCGAAATTCAGTATGTTCCCAGACTTCTGACTAAGGGAAGAAAATTAGCGTACCAGCACTGAATTAGTTTTAAAGGTATATGAGCTTTACTTGGTTACACCTACTACTAGCTCACAACAGCACCTGGGCTAGCTAAAAGGCCCTTCAGCCAGGGCAAAACAGACAAGTTTCTAGTAAGCCGATTTAACACTTGCCACTGTATGTCCTTGCAACCAGCCTTTACATTAGCAAGCTATTTCATGGAAGTATTTTTCATTAGGATTGAGTACCTCAAATTCTCAAATCTTGTCTATACTAAAGCAACGCATCACTTGAATGGAATTGATTTAAAAATCAATCTCGTTTAACTGGGGTGTACCCATAATGTAGATTCACTTCAATCAGTTTAAACATTGCATATATCTATTAAGCTCAACTTGGTAAATTCTTATAAACAAAGGTTTCATTTAACTGATGTTACCAAATTAAGCTAAATCAATAAAACGATGTTTAAACCGATGTAAATATGTAATTACAAGTTTACACCAGTTTAACTACAATTGATTTGTCACTGACTGGTGTTACACCAGTGCACCCTTTAGATGAGGGGAGTCACAGGATACCAGTTACTCATAAAAGCACTTCACTGTGCGCTTGGATTTCCTTTTTAACGTTAGAACTGTATTGTACGTAAATTGCAATTAACAATATCAGACAAGGAATTTTAAGTATAAACTATGAAAACAGCCAACCTTTTCCCTTCTGCTCAGATTATAACACACAGCCAGCTGTTTCTGATTAGGAAAGCTGTTCCATGCTGCTATTTACTCATTTTTTTCATGCTGCAGCTAATTACCTGCTGTTCTTACCTGTAATGGGTGTAAGGAGTAAGGTTCGGTACCTCCAGCATCTGAGCGTCAGGTTCATTCTCCACCTCACAAAGACTCACCCACTCTTCTTCATCACCCAGTACCCCAACCTGTACATGGGAAAGGTAAGAAGGAATACAAAGCAGACTATATACATGCATGTATATATATATAAAAAGAATTATATATATAATCTCTTTTTCAATGTGTATCATCACAGCAGTGGAAGGACAAATGCTTTTAAATACATATTATCCAGTTAATATTCATTTTTATATGACAACGCACTAGTTATTTGTAAAGCAACAACACAGCCAAGTTAGCCAAATTTCCTTGTACCTGTTGGGACTTCACTGGGATCCTCTGATAAGATCTATTCCAGAAAAACACCATGAGAGTGCTAATACCCTGTTCAATCTCACTGCCACAATACAAAAGTATCAAATAGTAATATAACAAAATGAAAAACAGCCTTGGTAATAACTCGCAGGAACTGATGCATACTAATAAGTCTCAATGGAGGCAAAATGCCACAGAAATGAAGACAGAGAAACAAGGATAAAGTCAAACAACAAAAGTGTTTTAACCTCATCTGCTGCTCTGCATTTAGACCAGACTTTTGCATGTGCAATCCTTTGTATTAGTTAATCACAACATGTTGCCCAATATAGTCCTTCAGCTACGGCAGCGTTAGAAGGGACAAAACGGTGATGAGAATTGAGAGCATTACTTTCTATACAGCTTTCTGGAGATAAAATGAAGATGCATCAGGACTTAAAAGGAAGTCAACAAGGCATGATAGAAAGGCCAGAGTCTGACCTGGGACCCTGGAAGATGGCAGCATCAGTAGGCAGGGTTGTGCATTCTTACGAGCAGTAGAAGTGTGGACAAGGAGACAGAAGAGAGGTGGTAGATGGCTGGGCTTCACTTTGGAGATTCACAAGTGCTGAAACACAGGGGATCTTAGACAAGACTCCCTGATGCAATTCCCTAGCACCGTGCACATTTACTCTGGTGTTTCAACCCTACCACAAAGGACAGTACCTGTAGTCCAATTCCCTCACCCTACCCTGGTATCCATAATCACAGGCTGAGGGATATTAGAGGGTACATAGGCAGCTACTCCCTTCAGCATCTATTTACAGACTTAATATCCGTGAAGATGCCTAAACCTTTTTTAACCTACTGACACTATCTACTCCCACAGACTGCTGTGGCAACAAATTCTAGAAGCTCACGACCCACTGTGTAAAAAGCTATTTCCTTTAATCTTTTTTAAACAGATCCCTTAAGAGTTCCGTATATTAGTTACAGCCATAGACACTGTCAAAGCACTCGATAGGCAACGTAGCCCAAAGTATCTAGCATATCCCACGTACTTCAAATAGAAAATTAGGTTTCATTCACTCTTTCTTTTTTTTTCCCTTCAGGAGAAGCAGCCTGATTTATTTATCGATGTTTTAGTTCTTCGTTCACCCAGGAGTTGATGCGCTGCATATTTATGTTTGTGCATGAAGAAATGACACAAGGAAAATTAGGCCGAAGAAATAAGTTCTGCATTGCACCGTGAAAAGAATCCTCTGTGATCTTCCTAGCAGAAGACTGCTTTCATGGAGGGACATGGTTGCACAGGTCTTGATGGGTCTTTCAGTTTTGATGGTTATCAAGGACAGCGACACACACCAAACCACCTATAAAATAGATGTCAGTGAAGATTATGGGCCTTTTAAAATTCCCAGTCCCAACTGAGCTCCATAAATTTTAGTAAAGTCCATGGATGCAGAAGCTTAAGGGAAGCAAGTCGAGACAGGTCTGCATGGTAAAACAGAACAGCCTTAAACTGAACCCAGAGAGCAAAGAAATGATAAAGAGAATTTTTTTAAAAAACCTACATGAACAAAGAAAGGAAGAGAGGGTTGATTTCAGTCAAGGAAACGTAGAACACTTTATTAAGAGAGTTTTTGATTAATACTGTAGAAAGTCTACAGTAAATGCTTATTTTTGCAAAATTCCTTGCTCTTAACAGCATCACCTCAAAGTGCTGCAGCAATTGTATAGCAACAATCCACAGTGCTTTGGAAGCTGCGAATAATCTCCAGTAGTTAGTCATCTTTTTGTATTCTAAGAACAGTGAGAGCTTTTTAAAATATTTCTTGCATAGCAAACAACAACAACAAAAAAGACACCACAGGTTTCAATCGTTCTGCAGCAGCAGGCAGGTCATTAATACACATTAAGGACCACATGGTTCAGACCCAGAGGCCCACAGGGCTGTGAACAATTGACATTGACTCAAGCTTGAGAGGTGTCCAAAACCCCCCGCCTGTTTTGCAGGTAGGCATTTACCAGCTGGCTGCAAAGGTGGAAATATTAAGGATCTTTTACTGACTGAGAAGCAGCAAAAGCTTCTATGCGCCCAGGACTACGGCAAGCCCCTCGAAAGCTATCCCAAGACGACAGCTTTCTGGTTTTGAATGCTCTCCCTGCTAGGAATGATGGGTGCAGCCTAGGAGGAAATGGCAGATGCCAACCAAGCCCAGCAAGTTGGCTGTTCCCAAGCTCAGGATCCAGCTGGTAAACAGGTGGCCACTACCTCTTTTGGGAGGTGGGGGATCCTGGGCAAACAGCAGCGCAGACAGTCCCAATTAACCACTTTCGGACTAATTTGCTGCCAAAAGGTAATGACAGAGAGGCAGCAAGAAAACCAACCACAGGTATAATACTGTGGTTCAGCAAAAGATTTTAAGGAAAATAGATCGGGAACTTGCTTTAGTTAGAATAATAGCTTGTAACGTTCCCAGGATCTGATGCCAGCATTTGGAAAACTAACTCAAAGGGCTAGATCTTCTGCTGAAATCAGTAGCATAATTTAAGTGTGCTTCTTTTGTGGGGATTTTTTTCAAAGTAAGAGGATTGAAGGGTGAATGGCTGTAGAGTAGCTTGGTGAACAGCCTGGGGACTTCTGCGGCCAAGCAATTCTAGGTCACTACTACTCAAAACAAGTTTCACTTATTTAGCAGCAATCTCAGAAATGAGTCTTGGAAGACAACCTTCAGTGATGGACTTCTATATTTTTAACTTCCGCAAGATCTGTAGTGGATTCCAAGTTTCAGGCTCTTGAAGGAAAAGGAAATTATTTTTGCTGAAACGCTCTGATGTCAGATCAGAGGAAAAGTATCAGTTTCAAGAATCGGAGTACAAAGGGATTCCCACGGGGCAGAAAGAACTACGGTCAGTGGTAAGGATAAGAGAGTCCTTTGAGGGGCAAGAGAGTCCACTATGAGCCACTCTGCATAAAATAAAGTTCATTTGGAGGCTTCTTTCTTGCAGCTGTTTTTTGGATAACAGTGTATGCAAACTTCAAAAAAGGATTATGTTTGTTGACAGATGCACACATATTCATGTGTGCATTGTTTTAGGAGGCAGATGAGAACACCAACTGCTTTTCTGTTACCGTCGGCATAAAAACTGCTTAAGAAACGCAGTCTGCATCTTAACAGTTCTCTGTACAACAGGGCCACAATCCCCAGGAGGCCCCAGGACTGCCACAATAAAAACACCTATGTCCACCAAGACACTTCATACGATTCTCAATAACGAGCAGCCATCACAACTTAGCACATATTCATTCCTGTCTCTCAGCTGTTCCCAAGGCATTACATTCAATAAAAGGGCATATTAATTTATTATTACAGAAGTGAGACAGTATAAAATAATATTGGAAGTTATGTCAGAACTCTTTACTTCTCTATGCATTAGTTTCTCTACTTCTAAAAAGGAAATGTTACATATTTTATAAAGTGACTTAACATTTTCTGATGGAGTGCACTGTATGAGCAAAGTTGCAGAATTTTGACTTAAAAGAAACCAAAAATAATTAAAATTTGGAATGAAAAAAGTTTGCTGTGATATGTTGTATAAAACAGTAATGCTTCCAAAATTTTGAACAGTTATGAAGTACTAACTGCAGGAAAGGAAAACACAGTGTTTCTGTACATTATAGCGGTACCCTGTGTTCTACTATAGCTCAAGATATGTCAGAGTTTTCATTATAGACGTCCATAACTCTCACATTTGAAATCACTTTGGGAGAAATTCGGTTCACAGGATGTCAGCCTGGGTGCAATTTTTTTTCCTACACAATCCTTAAATTGATGCAGCCATTTTTGATTTAAAGATTGGCAAAGGCATAAAATTGTCAGAGTTTCAGACACTTTATTTACCAGCTCCGAAATAAAAACGACACCAAGAGAATCACCTCGTACAATGGATGAATCCTATCTGGGTCACTGACTTAACCCACAAAACCAGATAAATTCATGGTTAAAGTTACAACGTCTTTCCCAACTCACAGCTTTACAAGGGAATACAGCGATAATACTTCAAAGGTTTTACTACTTTGAAACTCTGTTACCGCTCACCATGATATTCATACAAAATCTCTCTAAAAACAGCAGAAAGGCTTTAAGCAAAAACTCTCTATAGCAGCCCATATACCCATGGCTCCATGACTTGCGATCTCTCTTCGTAAGTGGCCTTCAGCTGTTTCACAGGTCTTCTGCTGTGTGCATAACAACATTCATCACCAGAAAAACACGCCAAACTCGGCAGAAGTTAGCCCAGCTTTTCTAATCAGCCACTGGAAAGCTTGATGCTGTGGACCGAGCACCTATCAAGGCATAGTCATGATGGTGTCATTTTACGTACTTCTCCTGACAAAACCCCAGGAAAAATCCAGTACGAGAAAAATGAGCTGGAACTGGACTGCAGCAGATAGAGAGCACAAACACGAAACCACATGAACAACAGCAGGGATTCAGTGCCATTCGTGGTTGCAAATTGCCAGAAAAAATGTCTACAATATATACTCTAACTGCATCTGAGAGTACAGGATGATTGGAAGGATTTACTGAAATTCTTTGGGGATGAACATGTTACCTGTGAGTGTCAATGCCACAAGGCAGTTACTGCTGGTCCTTCTCAACAAGTGTCAGCAGAACCTTTATATTACATTAGACCCTATTCTCTTTAGATTACACCGTACGTAATGGAAAAACAATATTAGAAATATTTTTTAAATGGCATTGGTACTTTTTTGTAGTTCTCTGTTTGGAATCTAGTTTCCTCCAGTCCTCTGAGTCTAGATGGAAAGATGGAAAAGAAATAGCCTAGTGGTTTTTAAGAAATCCCTTCAGAAGTACAGAATGTAGCCTCACTAGAAACACAGAAATGGGATTTTTAACGCTTGATATTTCAGTACCTACCAACACTAAAACCTTAAAGACCTGATTCTCCTCTCACGTTCATTGACATAATTGAGAATTAGTTCCACGGTGGCTCCCGTGAATTTACACCCCAGCACAAAAAGCAGAAGCCAAGACCAGATGTACAAAATTTCACGTCAACTGGAATTCCCAGCTGTGCGTTTCATCTAAATTGTTCATGAAGTATCAGGCTTCAAAAATGGCACTTAGCCAAAATGGAATACTTGGAACGTTTTCTGGACCTGCCCTTATCAAGGAAGCTTTGTGCCACATGAAGGAACAAAGAAGAAAAACGTGTTGGTGGCAGCTTATGTGTGTGAATATAAAATAGTTTGTCTGTAAGGACTCAGACATTCAGAGTAAAGGGTATATTCCCAGCAGAGATGGAAGAGAAGACACAATATACGAGGGATGCCCAATGCAAAGCTATCACCCAGCTGTACAGAGGGGGACACAGAAGAAGTGCATGACAGTACCATGTATTTGTTGGTCATGCTTTGTCATGAACCCACTGACAGCAGAAGTACAGCCCAGAGGGAACAGACCTGTGTGGGGACATTGAGCTAGTTCTCCTCCTTCCAGGAGAGACGATGCTGTACAAGGTCTTAGTAAACTGCAACATATTTTTTCCCAAGCTATTATCTGTTTTCAGCTACTCTGCACCTTGTTGCAAACTTTCAGAAAGGCTAATGTTCAAAAAATTTGCAAATGGATGGAGAAGTAGTCCCTGTACCTGCTTGGACAGAATATTCTCTAATTCAACTGATTAATCGAAGAGTACACTAGAAGATGAAGTAGTCCCTGTACCTGCTTGGACAGAATCTTTATTCTCTAATTCAACTGATTAATCGAAAAGTACACTAGAAGATATAGATTAGTGTTTTATAGTTAAATGTGATCCTATCACTCCATAATACCACCTGTTTTAAAATCATAGTATGCAAAACCATGCCTTAAGTGGCTTTTAATTTAGTGCTAAGGCATGAAACACTTAACAGGGCTATTAAAAGCTGTACATGGGCCAGTGAATGAAAGACACAGAAGGAAAAAATCCTCCCTATATTTCTGTTTAGAAAATACTGTTGTAGGTTGGGTATAACCACCGCCCTTCAATCTAACATAGTCCTAAGGAACAATTATGGTTGTCTATGCTAAAATACAGATGCTGCAACACTAGTCCGCATCCCAGCACAGACATATCACTGCTTAGAACAGACTACGTGAAAGGCATAAGTGAACACCGGGGTGTCACTGACAGCTGTTTTGTGAAAGCTTGTGTGTCTTTAAAAGGTAGGCAGAAAAACCCGTGAAGTCCAGAGGGCAGGTCCGCAGCAGCTTAGGTCCAAGTCAGGACAGATGCATTCCTGCCCTCACCTCTGCTTCACTACCATGTTCTCATCCCCTTCCCTTGCGATGGTGCTCTTCTGATCACACACACAGCCTGTGCAGGGAGTTGATCTGTCTGAAACTCATTTGTTCTTCGGCTGGATGGGCAAGCTCTTGTGGCAGCTCTAGGTATGGTCAGTGCATGCAGAAAGCAGGAGTAAGAAAGTCTTGGTAAGAGTGATGGGATGAGGAAGAGGGAACGGGAGCAGGACAATGAGAACTCTGGTTTAGATTGGCTAAAGGTGCTGTGAAATGGCACTTTAAGAGTGAAAGAGTTTGAGTGAAGTACTGGCAGAAAGGGGCTGTGAACAAAGGATTATTTGCAGCTGTCAACCTGGAAACAGGATTTGTTATATCCTTAAGGAGTCTACAATGTCTCTGCATACCTGAAAAGATTTTTGTTAATAATGTGAGCAAGAATTTTTTTTTTTTTTTAATTAAATCCCCTTGCAATAACATTTCTTGTGCCAAAGCTAAACAAGTGATGTATGGTGCAGAAGAAAATTGCAGGGTAGCTGTGGTGAAAAGCACTGCCCAGACTCCACAAAGACTTTGGCTGTGCTCCTTCCCCAAATGGAGCAAATATTCCTGGATCCAGGATCTATCAGAACCACTAACCCCTTGACTTTTCTAGCAACGCATGAGATGTTGATGAGGATTTGTGAACAAGAAAGATCCTCCTTCCCTCCCTTCACACCAAGAACCCTTCAACCACTATTTGTACCCGGGGCTCTTCAAGGATGCAGATGAACTTCATGGTAATTATTATTGCAGTTTTAAAGCATTCAAATTTATTTCACTTCAGTGGCGTTCTGCAAGTCACAGAATTAACAAATTCCTAGCAATATCAATGTGGTGCTCCAGCACAAAAATGCTTCTCGGAATGTGCCGAGCCACCATATTATAGGATTTCAGTGTTTAATTCCGTAACATGCAATAATGTGTATGTAAACGGTACAAAATGTACCAACTTGTTCACAACAATTTCATTACCAAGTGAAGTGATTGTATCAACATGTCTAAGTGGTGACGGTGATTTAAGAAGTCCAACATTTGGTCTTAAAAACAGATTATATTATTTATAAAGATCTGTGGGTGGAAAGGAAGAAGCAAAGCTCATCTGTCAGGAGAACAAATGAGGAATATATAACTCCTCCAAGGCATAATGACAGCAGAAAGAGGGATATTGTTTAAAGCTGATGAAGAAGAGAATTCATCCTATTCATATCTAGAGGCCTGGATAGAAAACCTCAGTATATTCCATTACAAGATGAAAAATACACTCAATCTCATGAATAATGGTATCTTTACTGTTCAGTGCAATTCTTCCTAGACTTCTGACTGCATGAGATAATAATTCCAGATTTGCACCTGGTTTGAAAATACAACTAACAGAACCTAAACGCAGGTTTCAAATCCTTTTTTAAATAAATGCATGGACTGAAGCTCTGCTGTATGTGTTGCTTATGATGCATCTGGTGTTCTTCCGAACATAAGCAAAGCTGGAATGAATTATTTGAAGATAAACATTCTCACATATATATATATTTTTTATATATATATTATTTTTCTTTTTTTCCTGTGAACAGAAGTTAGCATTCATATCTACCGGACAGACATTTCTCAGCTAAGCCTCTCGAGCTCCCTTGCATTCCAACCTTTCCAGGACCCCCTGAAGAGCTACCACCAGGCCATTTACTGAAGAGCTTTGATCCAAAGTTAAACAAAAACTGTAATCCAAACAGCAATTCACTATTTAGACCCTTTTTAACTCCCCAGAAACTTCATTAAAAGCTTTTTGTCAGGGATGTACCTGGCCTTCGACTATCCACTTGGAGATGGAGGTTTTGCCATCGTACCCTGGCCGGAACTGAAGCGTGGCAGAGCGAGGGCTGATGTTGGAAATCACCAGGTTGGATGGAGCACCTGGAAGTTCTGAAGAAATAGAAACGTAAATGAGAGGTGGAAACGCTCTTCGTCTGGGGCCCAGAAACACAGGTTGACATTCAGTGTTTCAGCATATAAAATACCTTGGTAACAATTATAATAGAGCAAACAGCTGCAGTTTGGGTTTGTTTTTTTTTTTTTGGCGGAGTATTACATACAGCATTACAATTTCTGCTGCTCGGAGCACGCACCACATTTTTACAGATCAAACGAGAAAAGAAAGAGCCCATCCACAGAATTACAGCTACTATTTCAGAGAAGTTGCATAACTAACAAAGCACGGTGGCTCGGGGGGAAGGTAATTCCTAGCTCCAGATCTGCCAGTCACTTGCCAAGTCACCTAATTCCACCGTACTTCTGTTTCTCCAGAATTAAATGACAATAATTTTTACTTACTTCTTAAAGTACATATAACTTTAATATATTAACAACAGAAAAAGACTCAAATTTTGGGGTAGCGTATGGGGAAGGTTTTGTGATTCTTATATAGACCTATAATAGATGGGTTTTAAAGGGCACTTCTGATGCCTGAATAAAGTGGATGAAGTTTTTTTAAATTTCTGTTGCAAATAAAGAGGGTGACCTTCTACAGGGAAAAGTCTGCAGCCCCAATCAGATCTTTGCCTCACATTAGTCAAGCTTACAGAGGCATTTACATTTTTAATATTATCTGAATTATCAACAAAAGCAAGCCCAGAAAAGAGATTAAATACAGATTGTTTAGAGAAAATTCCCAATAGTACCTGCATTCGTAAGTAATGGAAATTAGTATTATAATCAGTAATCATTCATAATGTTGTACTATGTGCAAACGCAACAGGCAAAAAGCGGGCAGCTTTTTGGCCTATATTTCACGTGTGCATGAATACACAATATTTCTTGATTCTTACTTCACATTTGGGGGAAATATGATCAATAAACTAACCCTGACCAAGTAGGATAATGCTGTTATCTGGCTAACAACAGGGAGCATGGCATTGATCTACTCTACAGAGTGCCACAATTACCTATGGTTAGGGAAAAGAAAGGGATGCATATTTCAAGACATACAGAAAAGTTCAAAAATACCAGAAAAGGGAAAAACTGGATTACTGTCAGTGATGTACACTAACTGCTCCACTTTGGAAAATTCTACTTGTATAACCTATAAGTTAACTGAAACTGCTTGTTTGAGGTAAGAATTGCCTTTTTAATTTGCTTTCTATACTGGATGAGGGAGAGTGCAGAATTTTAAAAACAAGATGCAAAAAAGCGACATTTCCAGGTGCCCAAACGATAACTCAGACAATGCAGTACCTACCCCCAAATCTTTCTCAGGCCACAACTCCCAAGTCTTGTAAATAAGATTTTAGTTTCATTAGACAAATGTCCTCTCATAGGTGACATAAGCTACACTACTTATAAATGGAAAAACTTTTCCCTTTTAACAGCATCCAGACTCTATTTTTGCCCCAAAGCAACACTTTTTTAATCGATTCAGGCTTCATTCTCATGTTACTTTGTAAATGCCAAGAGATTCTGTATTGTATCCACTTTATTACTTTGTCCAGTCCTTCTGCCGTCCCTACAACTTTTTTTGTATTTGTATTAAACAGCCTCAACTTTCTGGTAATTTTAAATTGCAAGCGTGTTCATGTTAAGGCTTTCAACTGTTCTAAAAATTAAATTTAAATTATGCGGTAAAGAATTCTAATGCTTTATAAATAAAACTATTTTTATTATTACTGAATTTTAAATTGCAAGCGTGTTCATGTTATTTCTTTCAACTGTTCTAAAAATTAAATTTAAATTATGCGGTAAAGAATTCTAATTATAAATAAAACTATTTTTATTATTACTGAACTGAAGTAATTTGTGATCTTTGGAACATGGACACGAAGAATTATTACTGAACTGAAGTAATTTGTGATCTTTGGAACGTGGAAACACAAAGAATCAGCCCATTTTAATTTGTTTCATGGAGTTTTACCAACCTGGGGGCACACCAGAAGAGATGGTAGAGGACGTGACCCATCCACTCCCTTTTGCGGTCACAGCTGCCACCTCAATTGTGTAGGTGGTGAGAGATGACAGCCCCGTGATCTTGTACTCCAGCGTTGTGTTGGGTAGCGTACGGGCAAGACGAGATTCATTCCTGCCATACACCTCCCAGGAGATCTGATACCCTGAAAAACAGTTACACAGAAGTCAGGGGGCCGTAGCGGTGGTGGGGTCCAGTTTTTCTTCTAAAGCACAGTTATACAATAACCCAGAGACTGGTAAGTTCCTGCTTCTGCAAGATTTGCTTGTGGTCAATGGTGGTATGACTTGTTTCCTACTCTACTCCATTATGGTCACCTTTTATAAGCAGAAAAAAAAAAGTTGAAGTAAACACTGGCTAAAACAACAATATTAGAAAAATACTTGGGTATTTCCAATAAACAATTGATGTCGGTACCCCATAGGGTATCACCTGCCCATCAGACTACAGATGGGGGCAGATATAGAGCCCCAACAGTCCGTCTCTTTTTCTATGACTACACAGTGCTTGCTATGAAATGGCTAGGAAACCTGGGGATAATCTCGCAGAGGGGTGGACTTTCCTTTTGTGAACTCTACGAAGCAAATAGGAAGAAACACTGGAAAACATAACATCTTCTCACCAGCTAGAATATCTAATTAAAAATCTATATGTGCTTAGTAGGGCTACTCCCTTTCCAGGCTGAAGTAACCTTCGCTGCTGTACATCTAGAAATACTTACATATCCGACAATAACAATCAGGCAGGAACATTGTGGGAATCTTCTAGGAACTGAAAAACCTCTACTCCCCACTGCTTGTTCCTCGCACAAAACCTTTAACAGGGTGAATCATTATCCTTTCTTTCAAAACCATAGTGTAGCCAACGTATTGTCCGAAACTGCACTCACCCTGACCTCCATATTATTCTTCTATCATAACCAGGCTTTCCTTTTTATCACTTTCATAACCATTTGCCTTCCAAGAACTTTTGAAACTTTCTACTGTCTGATTTGCTCAATTTTACCTCCAAATTTGCTTGTCCTCCTCCTGCCCAGTCCCACTTTATTGTCATTTGAACCCATTTGAACCTTACTGTGCCGGTCCCCAGAGAGTGCGTTTGAAAAGTTTGCTTGATTGCAGCTTTCTTTGTGATTTGACTCGGGGGGTGGGGGAAATACACATAGCTCTTGAATGCCTGTGAAATGGAAGTGAGGGAAAAGGACTGACAGGAAGGAACGTCACTGGGTGAACCATGCATGAGGCAACCTGGCTAGAGAAACTCCCGACTGGGTTCCTGTTGCCATCATCTAAGATGAGGAACTCATACCAGTTGGGGGGCTTAAGGTTTTTTCCTTTTTTTTTTTTTTAAAAAAAAAACCAACCCATGATAAGCTGATTAACATATACAAATTGACGTAGCAAAATACCTTATGGTATTAATCAACAAGGAAACACCATCTCATGAACTAAAGGCATGGTAAGACAAATATTTCTGCGAGAGTTTGAGGGGTGTGAGATGTTATTCTTCCGCCGGTGCTAGCTGCCATCACTGACAGAGATTCATGTTAACCTAATTTTGCATGAAAATGGGCTCGGAGTACTCACATAGTCACTAATTATGTTTCACATGAGGGGGCAGTGATAAAGAGATGATACTTCAACCATTCCAGCTACACCACAACCGCTTGTCTGACTATGCACTACCTAGGGGAAGGGGAAAAACTCCTGAATGCTCATCTGGAGCCGCTTTTAAGTAAGTGTCTGAACGGGAATTAAGCAAGTCAGTAATTTACCAATATCTCAGAGACACTGTGGCTTTTTGATGCTCTCTGAAAAGGCTTGAGAATCGTTTACCAGCGATCAGAGTTTATGTAGTACGAGCAAGATTATATTCTGCATAAAGATTTTGACAAAATTTAAGGACTCTATTGCCTTTATTAATAGAGGGCGAACAGAAAGGTGGGGAATGACTGTCCGCTCTATTTGATGCTCAGTGAAGAGGCACAAAGGAGTTGCAAAAAGAACGACCATCACAAACACCCCTTTCTTCCAAAAGCTGTGGGTGCTGTTTGTTCCAGACAGGGCAAGGTGGAGGCACGAGGAGTCGTCTGAGGAAGGTGCAGTTTTGCCTCTCCCCTCTTCTCAACAGAGGACACAAAACTAGCAGCTGTGTCCCCAGCCAGCAGGACATCCGTGTGCAGCCATGGATGGAGCAGAAGCTGGGCAAGGGCCACGCCACGGCTCATCTGTCTGCCTGGGAGCTGGGGACAACCCTGCTACGCCTGCTTTGAACCCTACACATGGGCTGGCAGAGGGAATGAAGGAGCATCACCTCAGAATAAAACAAAATGGGTTGCTCAAAGCAATAAATAACCAGAAGATAAGCAGGGGACTTTTAATGCTCTCCCTATCCATTTGTTGCTTACGAACAATAGACAGTTTCATCCACCATGCACTAGGGAATCATAAGTGATTGAGATATCTTCTCTCCCATCTAGATAAACTTTGGATATACATCAAATGTTGGTGATTATTCTTTGAACATTTTATGTTTTCTCCCTTGTGATTACAGGGAGGAGACCCAGCTTTCCCACCCACTAGGCACATAGTCTCTATGTATTTATTTACTGAAAACACGTTCACCAGGAAAAAATATCCTGAGTTCACATGCAAATTGAAGAATAGGCGAAGAGGCAGCATCTACTGTTGGATATTTCACTCCTGAAAGTATAGTTAAATTATAGTCATATAAAAAAACGCAAACAGAAAATACATACACACCGAGCACACACAAAGCCAAATGTAATCACGCATAACAAAAACAGATTAAAAAAATGCTGAAGGAAAGGAACAACATCCACCGTACCCCGAAGTAGCACTTAAGCCACAATGACTGACAGACGGGCAGAACTTCAGGACATGTGGATGGTAAAAACGCGCTCTCTGTTTTACAGACGTGATCACTGCCAGAAACGTGCACGGGAGAGTCCAGCCGGCCTGGGCTGACAGCGTTTCCTCTGGCTTCAGTGTAAGTTAGAATAGGAAAGGTGCCACAGAGTCCTCCCATATGCTTTGGCACTACGCCCTCTCCACAAAATGCTGCCTAACAGAAACTAATGACCAGAGGAGTTTCAGAAATAATTTTCTGTTGATCTGGAGTAAATTCTCTACAAGAGAGCAGTACACCCAATCACAAACTGTCCATCTACATCCAGGTCCTCATAAATCAATGTTTACTGGGAGAACGAGGAAGATACTGAAATTTACAGCAAGAGTAATGGGCAATTTCCCAGAGCAGGCTGGCTGCCAGGCACCACCCTCCGTGCTTTCCTCCTCCCAGCTCTGGTGCATGGAACAAGAAGGTCCAGTAAAGATATCAATGAGCAGAAATGATGAAGAATTGCCTCCCTAAGCACTCGGATCTCCAAGCAGCCCTCTATAAACCTCTGAGGTACTCAGGGCATGAACAATTTTGCTATTCTTTTCTTCTAGCCCAAATGCAGTTTTGCATCATTAAGGACATTTCTTTTTCCTTATAAACTTTGCTGGGCATTTTTACACTGGTGTATCTTCATGAACAATAGAGCTTCTTGAGTTAATTCTTTCTGAAACAATTTGCCCCAAATATAACACGGTCCAACATTGTGCTCCACCAGGTTTCAACCCATTCTGGGAAGCAGAAGCTAGTTTCTAGCAAAGCAATTCTGCAACACTAAGCATAGTGCTGCTAACGCGTGCTTAACAAGGATCAGTTTTACATCATCTTACTTAGATAGCTAGACTTGGATTTAGGCACCTAAATTTAAGCACTCAGGCTTGAAGGCTTTGGCCATCTTCACTGAATCAATACTGCTCTGCTTTCAGAAGTCATTAGTTTCTGTTCTTGAACCACTTAATGCATATTTCAGAAAGGTTACTATGGTATAAAGGCATAAGATGATCTGCATAAGGACTTGTTGTGGTTTAACCCGGCAGGCAGCTTGAACAACACCGTTCACTCACTCCCCCCCCCACCCAGTGGGATTGGGAGAGAGAATTGGGAAAAAAAAAGTAGAATTCGTGGGTTGAGATAAAGACAGTTTAATAGGACAGAAAAGGAAGAGAAAATAATAATAA